TGAAGAGCGTTGATTAACAGACCTTGGACAAAGCTACTAGGCGCTCAGTGGCCCAAAACAAAAATTACAGTCTCCTGGGGAGATGCCTTGTTTGTCTGCTTTGTGTTTGAGTCACAGAGCTCTGGATGTTAGGAGCAAAAATGTCACCATCTTTCATTAGACCCATGTGGCCCATGTAAAAGGTCATTTCAGGACCCCTCCACCTTCACGGTTCATGGTGCCCCTCCAAGCACTGTACTACAACTGCAGCAGACCTATGGTGGCACTGACACAATGTTTTTCTGCCTCCCACAAGATTTAAAATGCATCTACCAGAAAGGAAAGGGAAAAAAAGAGTACAAGTGAATCAAGGACTGGGACAGTAGGTGCTCGACTCCAACCCTAAACAAAGGTCAAGCTGAGAGCACAGGCCACATCCTCATCCACTTTCTAAATGAAGGTTAAAACTGCCCTGTGTGGAGATAATATCCTAGAAACTGGACCTAGAGCAAAATGTCCGAAGGCACTGGTTAAAGCATGGCAGACCCACATTATACCAGTGCTCTGGGTTTGATACTGGGCAGCAGCAGGCTATCAAGCCTCAGAGGCTGGTTTTGGTACCATCTGAGCTAAGGGGACAGTGCCCTTTGGCCCCCAAAGGAAAATAAATATTGTCCCCATCTGAGTTTACTTTCTTTTCTACAAGTAGAACTGACTATGCTGATGTGAATCAGCAAAGCCCCAAATGGTTTCACATCTGGTTTACCAGTGGGTCTGTTTGTCTGCTGAGTAGTGTTCTTGCTGTTCAGCAATTTAGGACAGTACAGCAAATGCGCATTTGAATGCATGGAATAAATCCAGTAAGGGACAGGCTCTCTTAGAAGTTCATGTACATGCAAGTGAATGAAGTATTGAAGAAACTCAGTAATTCCACTCCAGGACAGCTGGAGGACTTGAGTAGAGCTTCACATCCAGAGTAAGGACCCAACAGGAAAATGCTGCTCCATCTTTTCACATCCTAGCTTTGCCAAGGGACTTGAAAAGACCTTGAAAAAATGGGACCACATCTTAATGGAAACTAGCAAGAAGGAATGAAGAGCACAGGTGGCCAGAAATGAAGGATTTGGTCATGTTTTGCTTCCATAAAACAGGAATACAGATGAAGGAGTTTGTAAAGTGGGAGTAATGCCACTGAAGAAGGTGGAGTTACACCAGAGTAAAATTTCCTCTGGGGAGAAAGCAAAGTGGGAGCAGAACCAATCTACTTAGCAGATGTGGCCACCACATTTCCATTTATTTGAAATACGCTTTTAAGACTCTAAACACAATACCTGTAACTGTTCTGGGGATTTTCTACTCATTTCCAGGAGTTTATTTGAATGTTTTGATGTGTGTTTCAGAGCCACAGGGTGTCTCGTGGGAGACTCCAGTGGAGGGCACAATGAAGGGGGAGACTCTGATAGAGTCAGACTTGGGAGAGCAGCCACACGAGCAGCAAGAGCACCAAGTGCAGCTAAAACTAACCATCGAAGATTTTATCCTGCACAAGATGCTGGGGAAGGGCAGTTTCGGCAAGGTAAGCATCAGGGGACTAGACACCACTGCAGAGGTTGCATATTGCCTATTATGGCACTAAGTAGCATGCGGTTTGGAGGCCACTTAGGAAAAAACATCTCCAAGCCCTCAAAGAACCCATGCTCTGGCATGGCTGAGCCTTGAACCCAGTCTTCTTCTTGCCTAAGAGAAAGATTCTCCTTGCCCTTCCCTCTGCCCCCCTAGTTTGCTGTCTCATGAGCGCCCATGACAAGAGAGGAAAGCAGGTGAGTAAAGCTGCGACTTCCCCTTCTGTGCAGGTGACAGGGCCTGTGCATCCCTCCTGCCCGCTTAGCTGAGCAAGCTCAGAGGGAGGTGGAAGCATTAGCTGGAAAGGCGAGTGTGGATCACCTCCCCTCTCCAGAGCAGCAGCTCCCCAGCTGGGAGCGCTAACTGCTCTTTCCCAGCTTCAGTCTGTGCCAGAGTGTAAAGCAAATTTTGTAACAGCCAAGAATTTGTGTTTTTGAAACAAGAACCACCTGTTTTCAGTGGATTCATTAATCTTGATGAGTTGTGGATTGTTCCTCCTTCTTGCAGATGTCCCCTGGAAGGGGATTGGTGTTACTCAGTGCCAGCGCAGAGCTGCATGAAGTAATTTCAGGGGAACTCACCATTGTGTTTTCACAGCCAATAAGGAGAATGAGCATCATTATGTATCGCGTTGCTCAGATCCAAAACGTTTCCAAGGTGGAAACTGCCTTAAAGAAGGGCTGCTTTTTGCCTGCTAAGTGAGCTGGAGCAATTGCTACAGCCAATTCTTAAACTGGTGAAATATTTGCTATGTTTGCTCTCCAATACTTGAAAACACTTGGCATGTCTGCACTTTGCATGGGAAGCAGAGCTGAGACATCTGAGTTAGAGCTAAGCCAAAATACCCCAAACTCCACAGCCCAGACTAACCTGGACTCAAGAGCATAGATATCATAGAAACATTTACATTGGAAGGAAGGGACCTTTGGAGGTCATCTAATCCAACCTGCTGCTCAAAACAGGTCTTGATTAGATAAGGTTTCTCAGGGGCTTGTCTAGTCAAGTCTTGAATACCTCCAAGGAAGCAGATTCTATACCTTGCTTCAGCCCCCTGGGTTAACAAGGACTCTCCAAGCTTGCAAACGTCTGCATCTCTCTGCAGCGCACCATGTGGGTGTGGAGGAGATGGGCTATTTCGTACCCTTCTGCAACAAACCTCACCCACAAGTTTCCTGTGTAGGTGTTGCTCCTGGTGCCCTTATTTGCTTGGAGCAAGATTCACTTCCCTATAGAGAGGACAGGGTGTGCAGATCTCAGTGCCTGAGGGTCTCTCCAGCTCTGCGTGGACGAGAGAGACTGAGGACCAGACCCATGAGCAAGACCCCTCTGCATGAGGTCTAGCATTGCTTACTTGCACCTTGGAAGTCACAGCACAAGTCACAAATGTACTGTGTTCCCCCGTTTCCCCAGGAGAGCAGTGCCCTGCACAAAAACGGGGTAAAACGGGTGCCTGCAGCATCAGCACTGTTAGCGTTTCTGGTCATTCACTGCAGAGACAGAGGGAGGCTCTAGGCTCTACTCTCTGTCTAGTGCTACAAAGTGAAATGCAGCAGTAGCCAAAAAGGTAAATAAAACTTTTGTCAGGGCTAAAACATGTCTGAGCTTACTCAATAAATAGTGTCTGGTAGAGAACTTCAAACACCTTTTTGATGAATCTTACATATTTATTCAGTCTATGGGAAACAATGCCGACAGGCTGTTAGCATAAAGGTCAGGACTGGCACTGCTTTCCAGCGGAGATTCCTTTGCTCTACAGTCTCTAGAAAACCCTTCTCTGCTGCTCCGTGTCTCAGTTTTCCTGCCCATAAAAATAGATGGAAGTCCTAGCTCCTCTGGGATGTGTTTTGCTCTTCTGAGAGAATCACAGAAATCACAGAAATCACAGAAACACTAGGTTGGAAAGGACCTTCAAGATCATCAAGTCCAACCATTAATCCAGCGCCACCATGTCCCCTAGACCATGTCCTGAAGCGCCACATCCACACGTTTCTTGAACACTTCCAGAGATGGCGACTCCACCACCTCCCTGGGCAGCCTGTGCCAATGCCTGACCACCCTCTCAGTGAAGAAATTTTTCCTAATATCCAATCTAAACCTCCCCTGGTGCAACTTAAGGCCATAAAAGTCCTGCAGAAGCATGGGGGACCCAGTCTGTTCGCTCAGGCCTCCTGCTACCTGGGAGGAAGGGGAGAAAGTCACACCTGATATAGATCAATCTAACTACTGGTGGACATCAGTTTACACCTGCTGAGGATCTGGTGCGGGGCATTTGCATTTCACATGTTGAAAAAGCAACATTCTGTGTTTTGTTATTTAAAGTCACAACACAGGAAATGTATCTCATGAGCATTTGCATAAAGATGGTTTCTGTTATCAGAAGTGTTTGGCTCTCTGACATGTCCTGTCCATATGGGCGTGTAGCCCCTGCTCTTGTAATCGCCAAGACCTTCCCATCCTTCCCCAGGGTTCAGCTTCATAAAACTATTCTGGGTGGGAGGAACAAACTCAAAGTCTGCAAAGTCTTAATGGCAGAATTGGGGAATTGGGCCTTAAACATCAGTGTTTTTAAGGTCTACCCTGGTGAATTCCCCAGAGCTCAGCTCCCAACCTTGCACGGCTGTGTTGCCAGCTCTGAGAGAAGAGCATCATTCTTTCTGAGGAGCTGTTTCCACCCTAGGTGTTCCTTGCTGAACTGAAGAGCACAGACCAGTATTTTGCCGTGAAAGCTCTGAAGAAGGATGTGGTGCTGATGGATGATGACGTTGAATGTACTATGGTGGAGAAGAGAGTCCTCTCCTTAGCTTGGGAGCACCCATTCCTGACTCATGTCTTCTGTACGTTCCAGACCAAGGTAAGACAAGGATCTGTCACATTCCTCCACGGGCTGAGGACGCTTTGCTGAGATACAGATACTTGGTGAAGTGCTTAAGTCTCCTAGATGTTAGGGACCAGCTTGGACATGAGGTGGTGCTAAGGGAAAGGCTCTTCAGGTTAACCACTTTGGAAATGGCTCTAGAAATTTCATCTGCCTTCCTCACATTAACCTGGGGGGTGCATTTGAGGATTATGGCATCCAAGACTGACTGAGGTGGCTATGCAGAGACCCACTATTAAAGTGACCACATCCACAGCCAGGGTGCAGATGTGCCCACACTGGTGTTATCTGAACCTCTTGGACCATGAACCAGTATGCTGCAGTGACTAGCCTGGATCAGAGCTAACTCAAGAAACTCTGGTTATGGAGAATAAATATGGTGTCATTCACTTTGGGAATCTTCTTTGCCCCCAGCTACTGTTAAATTGCATCAGACTCTTCCTAATTCATGGACGACCACTGGTGGTGAAGGCTGCAGTTCAGAGGGGCAGCGCAAAACATCATCATCTGAAATCCTGCCTAGGACTCCAAACCAAAATTGAAGCGATATTTAAGTAATTTATATACCTCGTGGCCCTACATGGCCATGAACCGCCAACTGATTAGCTTTCCAGAGCCTTTTCTACAGCCACAACCAATCTTCTTAACACTAAAGCACACACAAGGCATAGAAAAAAATTCTGTAAGGAAATTTGAGAGATTGTTTTGTCTGTCTAACCTACCCAAACCACTCCTGAGAGGTTTTGCTATCCCAAAGCTCAAATTCAGAGGAACATCACTCTTTCAAGGCTGCTTGTTCAGGGTTTTGTTAGGATGCTCCCAGTCCCTGCTCAGTCCCAGGATTTAGTGATACAAAATACTGCTCGGTGTGAGGTTAGGACCTGCTCAGCAAGAGGCTTGCTGCTTCTGCAGGGTCAGGAGAAACAAATATAACCTCTGCAGTATATCCCAGTCACCCATGGGATGCGGCACCTGTTTAAAGAGAGATTAAATTTATAAAAGGGAATGTCTGCGAACTGCTGTAGGCGATGTGACACTAAGCCCAGGCATTCATGTTTAACCCCTTCAGGACTGTCAGTGAGGACAACATGTCCTGGGAATGGGTCCTTGCCTGGAGAGGAAAGGAATTAATTCCCTTTTATTTGAGGCTAGATTTCAGAGGAAAATATGAACGACCCAACTCCAAAAGCAGAGAAAATAAAGACTTAGTTAAAAAGACAAAATATTCACAGCGGTCACAGCTCTACAAGGGAGCTTATACTCCACGGAGAGATGCTTGTGCTGCCTCTAACTCCAGGCGCCCAAGGAGAGGTTGACTAACGCCGGCGGCTGACTTGCACGCAGCAGCAGAACCGTGTTGTCTGTGGTCCAGCCTGGCCCAACCCTGGTCTGGAAGCTGGAGGTCAGGTTCAGGATGGATACAGCAGTGGCAGTCTGCAGCTCTGGTTTCAGGCAGTGCATGCCTGCAAGTGTCCACTTCTCTTATGAGACCACAGCAAAAAGATGAGAGACCAAACGGAGTCATGCCAGGAGCCAAGTGGGATTTACTGACCACTGAAGGGAGAGACTCCTTCCAGCTGTGGCTGAGGCAAGGGAAACCTGCAGGATGGGAAAGAAATGAGTGCCTGAAAAGTTCGTGGGTGCCAGGCTCAAAACCCAAGTGGTCTTTTCCTACACTCTCTTATGGGCAACGTTACCGTATCGCCCTCTTGACATGTAGAAAGAATCTCCATCCACTTCATCCCGAGTCAACATTGCCACTTTAAAGTTATTTGATCTTTCCTTCTTGCCCTCAAGTCCACAGATACAGAAGCTGGAATGTGGCTGCTCAGGCCAAAGCTGTGGGCTGTGATTGATTTCTAGCTTATGTTTTTCTCCTCTGACCTTTGCAAGCCAAGCGGCGATCGCTCAACACGTGGAAGTCATTCAGAACAGGAGAGCTGTGACAAGCCATGGATGGTCTTTCATGGCTCAAAGGACAGCACGGTTCAGTCATTTTAGAAGCCAGGGCACTGTTGTGTAGTGTCTCTCTGGACTTTAATATTGAAAACTTGAATTTTAAACTGAAAAATTAATTTTTTTTAAGGTTTCACTGCATAGATAAGTAGTTTCAAACAGAAACGCCCGTGTCAATGCCATTCTGAATCTCTAATGCTTTGACTCACAAGGTTTGTGAGCTGCTTCAGGTACGGAGTGTCTCTGCAAAGGACAATTAAAATAGGAATGTTCCTACACTGAAAGAAGGTCAGTAGTCCCCAATTCTCCAGAGGGAAAAACAGTCATATAATCTGTTGACAGTTCTCTGAGCTCTGGGATGAGTTTCTTCCTGGCCTCAACCCAGCTAATCAGTGAATGTTGAACTATATAAAGCTCGACAGCCCTTCAGACAGGTTTTTGTAGGCACCAGGCACCTAGTGCTCCTTTTTATTCCTGCAGGGGCTGAATGATCAGTGCTTTCGAAACTGAGAATACTTGTCATGTTTTGCTACATGAGAATAAATTCAAACACATGGGTTTTTTTTTTCCCAATCTGTTTTTGAACTTGACTCTTTTATTTTACTGCAGTAATCTTTGCATCCAGATATTCAGCTGACATAATTTTATAGTGTGAATTTTAACAACAAGCTCAGAGAGCTATTCTGTTGTGTTAGATTTAAAGGGACACTGTTATGTTAAAGAGGAGGAAAAACATGGTTATAATTCTGTGAAATCCCAAAATTAGTAATGCCAAAACAGTGACTAGCATCCCAGTGCGTATGTTTTATTATTCTTTTTGCATTTCACTGAAGTTCTTGTGATAAAAACAGGCTTTCCCTTTTTGAAAGTCACTTTTGTTCGAACTGTTTCTTTACCTCATTGATCAAATTTTTATTCACACCCTTTACCTAAATGCAAATTAAGTCCTTAGGCATTTTGGCTTGTAGCACAAAATAGCAACACAGAAAACTATCTCAACCCCCAAACAAAGTAATCTGTATTGCGATTTAAAAGGAAATGTTAGAGAAACATTTTCTTTCTGCTTTACTAATGTATTATATCATTTTAAAATCCTGGTGGAGAGCCATTTTCACACACTGTTGTTTTAATGTGCTTAATAGTGTTTTTAAAATCTTTTACATTGGCAGGAAGGAGAAAGGAATTGTAAATAAGGAATGTGATCCTAATTTAAAAATTCTTAGGCTCTGAAGTGTTTTCCATAAGTATTTTCAGGAGATTTCTCATTAAAATATCTCCTCGGAGGAAATTGGCAATTCCTGCAAAATTTTCCAAGGGCAATTTCGGTTTTCTTCTGTCTTTGTCTTGCTGTTAGAGGGACGGGGTTAATTATTTGACCGGAGTCAGAGCGTGTAGGGTGGCACATGTGCCTTTCACACCCGTTCCATGTTCACCTCCATTGCCTGGCTGTGCCGTGGACCTTCTGAGCATCCCTGGATCAGGCCCACATGCCCTCCCCAGGCAATGCAGAATCTTCTCTGGCCACAGCATGGCTGCAGGATGCTAATGCATTGCAGGAGAAGGCATCCTGCAGGGAGGGGAGGTTGC